GTTTGAGTGATCGCAGCGCCGTTATAAATGTCTGTCTTTTAGTTGTCCTATAAGAGACGGAACGATATATTTTCACAGAAGACAACAGTGATGACTTATCGAGTCACGGTACAGTAGAAAGTTTGATTTTCATGCTTACGGCACAATTTAGGGGGGGGGGGGACGCCAGGCCTGCGCGGAAGGTGCAGCACAGTTACTGTGAAAGCTAGAAGAGCGGCCTTTCGGAGACTTTTAGGAGCGAAGCTCCTTAAGGCGTGGGCTGTGCGTCCCCTGTATGTAGCCACCTCTCGTTCAGTTCTAAGTATTACGCTAGCCACCGCCCGATCTAAAGGGTACAGCCATATCCATCCGTCCATCCGTCCATCCGTCCGTCCATCCATCCATCCATCCATCCATCCATCCATCCATCCATCCATCCATCCATCCATCCATCCATCCGTCCGTCCGTCCGTCCGTCCATCTATCCGCCCGTCCGTCCGTCCATCCGTCCATCCGTCCGTCCACCCGTCCATCCATCCGTCCATTCACCCGTCCATCCATCCGTCCATCCGTCCGTCCGTCCGTCCGTCCGTCCAAAAGATGTAAGATGTTATAAACTAGACGGCGGTACGTGTAGTTGATTATGAAAGATGCGAGGTGTTATAAAATAGGAATGATGCCACATATGGCGCGTGTCATCGTTCGATATAGGGCGGCGACGTACGCTAGGGGGAGCGTTGCAATAAAATCGAGTGGGCAAAATGCACGGAGGATTCATGGTTTACCAGGTTTACCTCCGGAGCTTCGCCCACTCATCATCATTCACTTCGTGGATATGGCGGCATTTTTTTAAAACACTAATTGGGTAACTACTGCAAGCACACTTGCTATAGTACTAACAAGGGCATTAATTATAAAATTTTTTTGGTAGTAGGCCTGCATTCGCTATGCTGTTTTTCGTCATTTTTCTGAGAACCGTTGTATCCGCTAAACACTTACAAGATATCTTGCGCCAATTGTTCATGCAGTGGCTGACGACGATGAAGAATCATGGTTGAAGTGGGTATGCGCCACAGTTAATAGCTGAACGAGAACAAGCTTTTGTAATGGGTTGGAGCGTTGGACAACCCACTCTTTACGCAATTCGCATTGTGCGACGACTGGTAGTTCCTTCGCTGTTTTAAAACGCTTTATAAGTCGTATTAACGCAATCGCTTCTCCGACATCAAGCCTTCCTAAGGCAAGTTTGCCAAGAAGTCCCAAGCACCGCCGTCGTTTCGTGGTAGTATTCTGGGTTTGCACCCAGCCTACCCGAGTTCGAAGCCCACGGTGTCATTTGTGCTAGTTTTTTTTTCTGGTAATTTTGCGAGACGTGGTTACGGACACCGGCGGCGGCGGCGGCGGTGGACAACTGCATGCGTGTGACCCGAGTTGCGATCTCATAACAGCTTTATTTGTAAAAAAAAGGAGGGGGGGATGGTGCGTCGTGTTGTCTTAGCATCATTCGGTTCCTCTCGCTCCAATGGACATCGTATGCGGCAAACATGATGAATGAACGCAGCAGTATGACCTTGTTTTAGAGATTACGATAAACTTAACTAGAAAGAGTGGTTCTTAAAGTACATGTTAACTTGCCTGTCTTATAACGATGCGATCGCTAAGCAGACAACGCGAAGGCTTACGTTATTGCGAACACTTCGAGGAATTAACACTCGCACGTCGATTAGATTTTTTTCTTTCTTTTTTTTCCTTTTTGACGAGTACGTCACTGCGCTAATTTGCAGCATAAGTGGAAGCCTGGAGGATTTTTATGGCTTGTGCAGTCTTTGAGTGGGCTTACCAGTTCTTTCCAAGCCGCGTTTTGTGCAATTTGTTCTTAGTGGGGAATGAAACTGGGCCTGCCTTCACAAGTGATCCTAATTATGCGGATATCTCTCGGCATCTTCAACTGCCTTTTTTTTACTTTTTTCCTCTCAATTTATTTTCGCACGAGGGCCAGTGTACGCCAAAGTAACGTCACCGAGCGCAGGCCCATTTAATAATTTATTTATTTATGTATTTATTTCAAGTAACTTCAAAGTTTATTTGCGCTAATGAGGTGGTGTGATGTACATATAAGAAAAAAAAACGTAACAATATTAGCTGAATGGAAACACTGTACAGAATAATCGCAAAAGCCTTGCAAAGGATATCGGCGAACATCTAGTGTATAAACTTCAAACATGGCAGAATAAACACTTGTGAAATGATACAGTGGGCTTGGTAGGACATTTTTAAATGCAGTTGAATAAGTGATATCAATAATGAACGCAAGTAAGTGACTGCAATCTCCTGTTGTTCTATAATTCATCTCTAAAAATGGCTTCAGAATGTGGCAAACGCCTGAACCGCAGATGCAGTTATTTTCATCAATAAGATCCCTATGGACGCCTGTACTAAAGGGTGGAGCGTAACAGAATCTGGCCATCATGGCAGCTATATCACGCATCACAATCAGTGCTGTCAATATCGTAGGATTTGTGGTGGGAGGCTTCGCACAAATCAGAACACTTTTAAACTGTCCCCGTGTAGTGTCATTGTTGTGGTTTTGTACGACAGTTTCTTACTCTTGTTGTCTTTTACTATAGAGGTTTGTTTGTTTCAGATTTATTTCGTAAAATAGCCTTTTTGATGCGGACTGAAGAGCGTGAACTTCGGTACTTTTTCTATTTAAAGTTTTCTTCCTTCAGGGCTGCATCTATTGAGTCTAAACGAGCCTGGTGGACATTCTGGCCCCGTGCTTATACCAGCCGCTTTAATTATTTTGTTCCCGGCATTCCATATGAGCTTCTAAAGCGAAGTGTTCCTTATTCATCCTTTGACATTGCGCTAAATAGGTCATGCGTTCACCGGCTACGTAGGTTCGACGGCCGTGTTCGTTGCCCGAGACAGATTATCCATTATTAAAGATCTACTGTCGAGCAAAAAGAAAAAAGAAAAGAGAAAGCCAAAAACAAGCACAAACCACGTTGTAGCACAGTAATGTTCAGAGGACGTGTCTTGCATTTCCTGCATCATTTCCTTCTTGGCATAACTTTGAAAATGTGCGTTAAAGAATGGGAGTACAGGTGGTTTTACAGCATCCTGGCAAGCTTGAGGAATTCCGTAGGGTGGCTAACAGATTCGCACAGTACTCTTTGCTGGGACAAAGCACCAGCGCTTTTGCGAAAGGGCGAGATTGAGATGAAACGAGAGGGAGAGAGAAGAGGAGGAGGAGGCCGGGAGCACGTGCACACCGCATGCACCTCCAGAATGTGACATCATGGTTGCCGATCGCGTGAGGCCACCGCGCGCTGACAGTCCGCCGAAAATACAGCCAGATGTTCGAAAATGCGGGAAACAAGCTGTAGCTATCGGGAACAGAGGCGTTGTTCGAGAGCAAGAGGATGGCTTGGTGGACTAATTGGTAATGCATCGTGAAAGTATGCAGCGCGCACACACAAGAGGACTGCAGAAGTGTATACGCAAGGCATATATCGCTGATATGTCTTGTGGGTATGCTTCATTCGGTCCGCGCCGGGATGTATGCTGTAGCAATTTGCGTCCAAATAGAATGGGTACGTTTTCGTCAGTTTTTCCAATACTTTTTCATTGCTTTTACACATAATACAAGTGGAGTCCGAAACATTTTTCATTTCGCAACGATTATATCGATTTCATCCTTACGCATTGAAAAAATATTAAAACAAGCCAATACCAGCCAGCCTTGCCGGCGCACGTCATGCATGTTGTTGCATTGTACTTATAGCCCGTGTTTTGTAACGATGGCGCCTGGCAGGCACCTGAGCCGCAGGCTCGGTGAATTGGCTGGCGTGCGCTTAGGATATCAAAAGACGAAAATTAAAAGGGCTGTTTGCTCATCTTTGAAAGCGGCCGAAAAGCCGTGCCATTGTCTCCGGTCACGTCTTTGAACGCGCCCTGGGGACGCATGCGCCTCGGCCTTTTTTTCTTTACTTCTTTCGCGCGTTTTCGCGCTGTGTACAATTGTCCGAAACAGCGAATCCCAAAGCGCATCTGCGAATTGAAACCGGGCGGATTGATAGCGCCTCGTCCTCGTTCTGTTTCGTCCATTGGTCGCAAGAAAAAGCGTCGCTGTAACTTCGTTTTCAGTCGTTTTCTCTGCCAGTATCATTGTTACCTTAAGTTTCCATTTCTTTTCCTGCCTTAATGAAGGCGAAGCAACTTTTTGACTAGCCTGTGTAACACTGTCCCTCCGTACAACCCCACTGCCCATGCTCGCGTCGTGCAGATTACAAATCTCGTCGAAAGACGACAGTCTTGCGTCTGGACAGAGTGAACAAAACGTTCATTTGATGTTCTGCGCAAAAAAATTGGTGAATTATTATTATTATTATTGTTAATATTATTATTATTATTATTAGTAGTAGTAGTAGTAGTAGTAGTAGTAGTAGTAGTATGCGACTTGAGGTCGTTTGAAGCTGTTTTATGACGTTTAATCTACAAAGCTACATTGTGCACGTGTTTATTTGTACTTACTTGTGTACAAGCAAGGTATCTCGCAAACGATGCCCGCTACGTCTACAGAAGCATAGCCAAATCAGACAATTTTCGTTTTCCTCCCCGTGCAGTGCTAACTATCTGCACACACGCGCAGGTCGAGGAACTCGTATAATGTACTTTAGTTTGATCTAAATCTCTTCGCTACCTCCGTCCCCGTTCGTAGTCATGACTTTTAAAGGAAATTAAACACTTGGAGATTGTTAATTATATTTGAAACTCGGGCCTTTGTTTTCCAGTGTATACCCATTCTTTAAGGGTGAGCAACAGAAGCCAACTCTAGCGGCTGGTGTTCAAACAGAAGAGTTACGAACAGGTTGCGCAACGCCATATTGAGAAAAATAATTAAGAACTTTGTTGACAAAGACTACAAACTTTGACAGTGTGTGTTCCTTGCGCGTAGCTGTCCTGTATTTTTTTTCCTCCGCAATTCGTTCACGCTGTGTCGTGTGCTTGGCGCGCAGATACGGAGAAGCTGTACACGAAGGCAGTGCAGACCGTGGCCGACCGTTATGGCAAGCTGTACACGTGGGAACTCAAGCAGCGGGTGATGGGCATCCCGGGAAAAGATGCGGCTCGTCTGGTGATCGACGGCCTCGGACTCCCATTGGGCACCGAGGAGTACCTGAAGGAGATGGACCGCCTCTACGCCGAAATGTTCCCCAGCGCCGAACTCATGCCCGGTGAGAGGGAAAGGGCCCCCGAATGCGCCCGGCGGGTCCCTGAGGGCAACAAATCTTTCGGCCGTGTAAAGCTGAGCAGCTCCCTTTTCTCTTCTATTGTCTGTCTTTCCCCCTTTTCTTCATGTCTTATTTCTTTCTCTATTTCTATTTATTAACATGAAAGTGTTTTGGGTCGGCATCCACCATGGCTTCGCTAACGTACTTCCGTCACAATATGACGTTGTAAAACATATGCTGAGAGATCGGGTGTACGACGTTGTAAAGTATATATCTAAAGATATCGGAAGGGAAAAAAAACCTAAAATCTCCGTCAGTGGGAGTCGAACCTACGTCCTCTCGCTCCGTCGCGCGGGACGTGAACCGACTAGACCCCAATATTCTCAGCTTGCTAACGGCGAACAATTTATATAGTTCATTTACCGCTTGCAGTACTCGGAGAGTCGGCCACTTCAGCGTGGTGCCGAGATGGCGAGAAATGACCGCGGGGCGCGCTTTAAGAGTCGTTGCCCCGCTACCCACGCCTTGCAGTGTGCGCGCGCTTCAACAGGGTTTGGTCACTCGTGCGCCCCACGCTTGTGTCGCGTTCACGGCGCTTTGTACGTCTTGGACTTCCACCGCAAGGTGCGTTGAAGTTACACAGGACCCGAAAGTCACTTCGCTCGCAGCCGTGGCCGCGCTTACGTGAGGAGCACGCGCCTTACACGCAGGTAACCATTTTTAAAGTTGTTCGCGTGCAATCGGTGTGAACTTGCGCGTTCGTTCCGCGCGTTCTTCTTTGTGTTTGAGCGCAGCGCTTGAAGTGTCGAGCTTCGGCGGTAGTTAATATGCTCTTATCTATGTTCTTTCGAACTGGCAGCCCGCTTGAAGAACGGGCTGCCAGTTTAGAACCTTGCGATTTGGTGCTACAGAATTCATTACTTTGACCTTGCGGCGAAACAATGTACTGTAAACGCTCAAGCACCTCTCGAAAGACACGTTTCACCAGAGGTATCCGTCATGTTTTCTCTTCCTCTACCTTTTTATCTAGTTATTGTTCTTTGTTGCCTTCGTTATTTTTCTATTTTTTTCTTCTCTTTATCTTTTGGTTTCGCGCTTGATTCCTATTTTTATATTTTTATACGTTGTATTGCCTGAATTACGCGATGCACTCTAGATTTATCGGTTTTTTTTGTTGACAATTATATCTCATATTCATCAAGGCGCTTGAAGAAAAGCAGGAAAATACTTCTCCTTGGGGCGAGTGCGCGCTCAGTATGCTACATGTGCAACGTTACGCGAAGTGACGACGACATCACATAACAGCATACGCCTTGCCCCTACACGGCTCCGCACCTCGAGGTGCACTAAAGTGTAACAATGACTCGATTGAGATTGATAAACACTACGCTGTTAGAGATGTCGGATTGGAAGACAAACGCTATGTTACCCCAGGAAATGTATCTGTTCAGACTGGTAATGACTTTATTGATCAAGTTTCAAGAATCGGTGTGAACATATACAAAGTTCATATATCAAAGTCCCTAACACTTTTCACAACAAGGATTGAAAGATATATTCAATGGGACTTTAATTCTCGTGAAATAACACTTGGTGAAGCAAAATCAATCGTAGGAAAGTTATCTGCAAATAAGGCATCTGGACCCGATGGTATACAGGTTAAAATCCTGCAAAACAATATTGATATCTTGTGCCGGTCCCTCTGCCACGTGTTTAATCACGCAGTAAGCAAGCTCTGTTACCCAGACGTATTGAAAGTCGGTAACGTTACTCCAGTGGACAAATCTAGTCACAGGAACTACCGGGTAGTTATGGGTCAATAACTATTCTCAGTAAGGCGACTACCCTATCAAAAGAACTCATTGCGCTACAACTAAATGCATTTCTTGAAAACAATAACAATATTGGCCGGCAGCAGCATGGCTTGATTGCATGTAGACCCACTGCAACCGCCGTTTCAACACTTTCACAATTCATTAACACCGCTCTAAATGCGCAAAACATGGAAGTGTCAATACTTCTTGATGTATGAAAGCGGTTCGACACAATCTGTCACCCTAGTTTATTTGAAAAGTTCACGGAGTTCTTGGAAACGTGCTTCAGTTCATCCAGAGCTATTTCCACGCACGTAGACAGAAAGTGTAATTAACAAATCATCATCATCATCATCATCAGCCTGACTACGTCCACTGCAGGACAAAGGCCTCTCCCATGTTCCGCCAGTTAACCCGGTCCTGTGCTTGCTGCTGCCAATTTATACCCGCAAACGTCTTAATCTCATCTGCCCATCTAACCTTCTGTCTCCCCCGAACCTCCCACATGCATACGTCAAATTAACAAATATTGCTCAACTTTTACTTACGTCACACGCGGAGTACCACACGGATCAATTTTGGGCCCCATTCTCTTCTCTTTATACGTAAATGATCTACCGCAATCTCCTAAGTACACAAAAGTAATAATGCATGCTAATGACACAGCGTTGTTTTACCAACGTATCTCACTTCCTTCACTGCAAGACGTTATATCGAAAGTAATGACGACAATAAATGTGTGGTTTACAGAAAACAGGCTAACCATAAATACTGAGAAAACGCAATCAGTCGTACTTACCTTATGCAGGAAAATATTGAACTACAGTGGCCTTAATATTTCTCTGGCCAACCAAACACTGATTTCGGTCGACACAATCAAATCTTTAGTCGTTATTTTTGACCATAATTTGCACTGAAGAGATCAGATCAATACTGTGTCTAGAAAACTAGCTTTTAGCTCTTATGCACTGTTCCGTTTCCGCCAATATTTTTCTCGTTCTCTACTTCGTTGCATATATCTGCCCCGTTTCATTCACATTCCGGCTATTGCTGTGAGGCTTGGGGCTTAGCATACAAAACCCATTTAAGAACTTTACTGCAGTTAAAATGTGCTTTAAGTATAATAACATTCTCCTCTGTTCATTACCCCAGTAGCATCCTACTCAATGATCTTCACATTCGCTCATTTACCCTGCTAAAAATTATAAGGTAGCTTGCCTAGTTCACAAAATACTGTACGCAAACTTTCCACTACCCAGCACCATATTCGAATTCCCGCGTGCAAACACCAGGCAAACAAATCCGTTAAATTTAAATCTTCCTCCTTGCAACAACAATAAAGGCGAGCGATTGTTAGAAGTCTTCGGAGCTCAAACCTGGAACATTGTGCATCTAGAAATAAGAATTATGCGTAACTCCAACCTTTCTTACAAACGCTTTTTCTTGTCTACTGAATTGTAATCACCTTTAATACGTAGATTGCACATCGTTGAAACTTTCATATGTCGAAAATCAATCGTTTTTTTTTCGCCAATCATGTGCGTTGCTAACTTTTATCTATCTTCTGTATTGAACCAGCTACTAGCCACCGCAGGCTATTGGTCCAGCTATTATGTACCCACCTTTTGTACACACGTCCTAATAAACTCATTTTTGTTTTATCTGAAAAAAAATAATTAACAAGTTTCACTATTATAAAATCATTATCAGCGGACAAAATCATAGTCGATGTTTCATTTTTAAATTTTGCTCTGAAACGTGCGAGTGACGTCATTAGTTTCAAAATATTTATATATTTTTGCGTTTTCGCAACATGGGCTCAATGAATTTTTTTCGAAACGTCGTATGCTAGGTATGTGACACCACGAGATGAAAACGTACTTCATTTTTTTAATTATTAGAAGCTACATAGGACTCAGAAGACGCCATCCAAATTTATGACGCCATTGTGTTTGGTAAGGGAAATCTCAAGGCGGCGTCTCCACCCGTATTTTTTGTTCACGCGTTTCATTTAGGGAGCCTACATAACCAAAAGTGGTCACGTAGGCTCCCTACTTTTATGGCTTACCGAGCGTTGTCTCGCTGTAAGAGAGGTGTTTTCGGGGATGTGAACTCGTATTTTACTAATATGCAAAAAGTGATTTTCTCTTTAGTTCTGATGTCGATTTCCCACACGTGAGTTCCACACCACTCTTTGAGTACTAAAATCCATATTTTCAGATATGGACTGTAGACTCTTCCAGCAATGCACTGATGCAGTACATTCAAACTAAGATGAAATCAGACAGCAAAAATATACTGTTCGAAGCGACACCGGCGTGTATGTGGAATAACAAAGGTGGGTTCACACGTCAACAAGACTTTTTTTAACAAAGTAATGGCCAACTCTGCATACACGCCACACAGACTAGACAAATGGCAGCAAGCTAACCGACCGTCGAGGGATCATATCTGTACGTGATGCACACACTGCCAGACGCTGTGCCGAGCAGATTTAGAACACCTGATTTGTACGTGCTCGGCATTCTCCAAAGGCGGACGACGCATTCAACATCTGCTACCAGGCGACATGACGACTCTACGGAATTTATTGAAGGCAGGGAATGAAGCACAGAAAGCTCTCGCGATATACGGCAGTCAAGTGGCATGTTTCGCTGTAGTGTAAGAGAGGTCACCCGCTGACCCGTGTGGGGGCGTGACATGAGGCTGCTGCTCACCCTTTATGCCCCTTGACCTTTTACCCCCTCACCCCGTACATTGGCGATGAAACGGCCCATCCTCAGCCCAGAAGGCTTTGAAAGCTTTGCTGCGCTTTTTGCGGACAACTGGCCTCAGAGACAGACTTTAGTGTCTTGTACTCTTTGATGTTGCCTTACCTCTGTCGCATTTTTTTTGTAATTTCTCCCTCTCTTCGCAACATTTCTTTTTAACATCTTTCATTCCCCTCACCCCTTTCCCCAGCACAGGGTAGCCAGCCGGTCTAAGAACTGGCTAGCCTCCCTGTCTTTCCGCTCAAACTTTCTTCCTTCTTTTCCTTTAACTAAGGTCCCATTCATTCATCCTCTATAGGGTCCCTTTGAAAGCGCATTTTGGAATAGTGCATAGCAGCAACCTCCCAGCAACATTTCGAGCTTAAAGGGGTACTGGCACAAAAAATTTGGCCTCGTGTTTTTCTGCTGCAATGTGTTGCTGGGAGCCTGTTAGTCATGACACGACACATTGTTTACTGCAGGACGTGACAGATAATTAATTACAGGCTCCTCATTATCAATCAGTTTCAGTTTCGGTTTGAGAGAATTCCAAAAACTGGGTGCAACTGTCGCCACCTAGCGTGTGCAACTCTTGACCACGTCAGCACACAGAACTGTGACGCACTTCCGCATGAATTTGCATCAAGAATTACTTTCGAATAGGAAATGGCACTGCAATGTCGCCAAACACAAAACTTTTTAAGCGTGCGCCACGGCCACGCACTCGCAACCAGCCGCCGAGAAATATAGACTTCGGGAACTAACTCGGCAAAAGAAAAATTGTGGCTATGACGTCATCATAACTTGTTTTGTTGACCGCAGCGTGGTGGCGTTGGGGAAGTAGGAGGTCACCTCGGGGTCACCTTCGAGGGTGTCTATAGCGCTATGAAGTCGGTCGCTCATGTACACTTCAAAATTAATTTATTACCTTCCAAGCAATATTCGCTGTCGATATCTTGCAGATGATATACGAATGTTCTCGAGAATCGACCCCGAAGGCTATCTCGGCCCCGAAATTTGGGTCAGTACCCTTTTAATATGCAAGGGGGCGCCTCACGACAGACTCTCAAAATTTCTCGCTCTTTCTGTTTTTACTTATCTTTTTTACATTTTTTTCTCTCTTTCTTTGGTTCCCTTTATTTCACTCTCTCTCCTGCTCTCTGTTTTTCTTTACTGTCGCTCTTTTGGGTCTTCTATCTCTTTCTCTCGTTTTCATGTCTTTAGTCCATTAATTTCGCTATATACTGTTCTTCTCTCTATCACTCTATTTCTGTTTCCCTTCTTCTATCTATTTTTTTCTCGCTCTCTCATCAACGTGTTCCACGAGCTCCACTTCGCTCAGCAGGGTTTTCGCTTGACGCTAGCACTGGTGTATTCGGCTGTTGAGCTTGCCCAATCTTTGTGGCACTTACCCACATGTGGTTTCCTACGGACACCAAAGTTTCTACGACAGGCGTAAACAGCTACGGCGTTAAAGGAAACCTAAACGCCATGAGAAGTGGTGGAATCCATCCTGCCAGGTATGTACGGTATGGTCACTGTGACAGAGAACACTAGAATGAGTACGTTTCATATTGCTCAAGTGGACATTGAAACATGGTCCGTGCACGGCTCTAGTCTGTCAAGAAAAGCCAAAAGTTTTAGTTCTCAGTAATCTTATGCGAATCTAAGGCACTATGCTTTACCAAGAGAGCAAAACCTGGAGTGGCACTGCACAGAAATGCTTCCTTGAACAGTGGACTTCCTTGGTGTACGACAGCCTATCGGTGAAGGCATCTTAGCGCTGGAGTCGCCAGATCCTAGTGAGAAAAGCAACCAATTATCATCACAAAATACAGGGCTTATCCGCCTTTTCATGAATCTATATAACAAGAAAGTCAAACGTGTCTTAACAGAGGTATTTGGCGGTTTATTTTGCCTTGTTTCACCCCAAGTGCAGCGTAATGAATGCTACAGCAACAAATTTCAACTTCATGCGAAAGCACGCACGAAATCAGCCTACGCAGCACGAGCGCGGACAAACAACTGTCTCGGCTCGACACTTACAGCACGCTGCTCAAACAGAAAGACAGACACATGAAATGAACGCACAAGCATACACAGGACGAGCGCGAACAACTCTGACAATTCTTACTTAACCCTATGTGAACAGCGTGCTCCTTCCGTAAACGTGGCTATAGCGCGGCAGCGAGCGAAGTGACCGTGGTTCTCACCTGAATCACGAGTCTGATAAGCCCGCGCGCAGTCCGAGAGACCATGCTCCGTGTAGGCGCGCGCCCAAAGAAACGCGAGAGGCACCCAACACGAGGCCGTTGCGACATCTCACGACTGATGACAAAAACACGGTCAAGTTGAAAAGATCTGAAGACCGCCAACGGTATATGGTCTAAATAAATACGTTACCATTGACGAACTTAGCTACGTACGTTCCGTGGCACAGCGGCTGGTGCTGCGCGCTTGAATGTGAGAGGTCCCTGGTTCGACGCCCTGCTATGGAACTCTTTTTTTCGTTTTGTATTTCGCAATCTCTTTGCATATATTTTACTACGTCATATCCGTGACGGAAATACGTTACCGGACCTGTGGTGGACCCCGGCATAAAACAATGACGTGTTAAAGAACCTCCCCCCCCCCCAGAAAAAAAAAGCGGTGTGACTTTTGCGAAGAATTCCTAAAGAAGCGGAAACATAATATCTTTTTTTTTCAGTTTCAAAAAGATTTTAATCGCAATAAAATATCACTTCTACACGATGGGGAGATTTGAAAATCACATAATTATTTTGCATTGCTGAAATATACACAACTAACAATAAAAGCACCCAGTTACTTTTCAACATAGTGTCCAGTGTAGTCTCCGTTCTGTTGTGCATGATTAACGTTACCTGTTGATTCCCCCGACGTATGTTTGACTTCAAGCTCAAAGTCGGCGACAATCGCGTGCTTATTGTCAATGTCAAACGCGCTATTGATTAATGTGATGAACACTGAACAAACTATATTTACTGGAATAACGTAGATAAGCCCGGAAGTTGCGACAAAAGATTGAGGAATTCCACAAGTGGCTTGGCGAAAAAACAAAGGCGAAATCCGCTCAATATAAGCTGAACTGAGAAGTCTGTGTTGACTGCGCACGAAACATTGAGAGCTTGGGGAACGTTCACTTGCTCAAATGATTCAAGCAATGCGCTCGGCGTTTACGAGAGCAAATTGCACTATGAGCAAACGTGTAACACCTCTTGTTTAAGAGCACAAAGGCGACGTCTGTAAATGTCCGTCACGCACCTAAGAGCCTCATCGCTTGGGAGCTTACAGCTCGTTATCCAGTGTAACACTTGTAGGGCCAGCATAGTAGAACTACTTGACGGGTCATTCTTCGGTATTGTTAGCTTTGCCGGCTTCTATCTCTGCTCTGCTCTCAACCTAAGATCAGTACGACATTGAAGTAATGGGGATTAAGCACGTTTGTTTCAGGCATCCGCTTCGCAGTGGTCGTATGGCGTGCTTGAGAAACCAAGGGAGAACTTCATTGCTCCATTTTATAGTTTTTAGAAATGTTAGTTAGGTCTCTTCAGAAGTGCGATGAATTGGAACAGTTCGTGGTTGTTTGTGCTTTCTTCTCGAGTTATGTGCCTAAAGATAGTGAAACGGGAACAGCAATACGATGACAAAAACCAAAAAAAAAAAAAACGCACGTACCCGAATCGTAAGTAGGGAGCTATATAGCATCTATGCATGGGGCTTGTTTGGTTTGAACAGCTCCTAAGAAGCACATTGAAATATACGCGCCGCTATAACCTGTCCTTTCATGTTTCAATGAACTTTAGCCAATCAACCGAGCAACCCCATCTGCGCAGGTGTGGAACGACTGGTGCGCCACCTGAAGAAGCATGACGTGCCCACGGCTATCGCGACCAGCTCGAAGCCGTTGTCGTTCGAACTGAAGACGTCGAAGCATCGCGACCTGGTCGCTCTCTTCCACCACGTCGTCATGTCCGGCGGCAACGCGGAGGTCAAGCATGGCAAGCCCCACCCGGACGTCTTCCTGGTGGCAGCGTCCAAGTTCGAAGAAAAGCCGCCCCCCGAAAAGGTGAGATCGACTGTTTGTCCAGATGCGAAGAACCCTGTAGGGACTCGTGTTTTCGGCGTTTACGTCATCGTGGTGTGTCTTGTAGTCACGGTCTATCATCAAACGGCTACGCACCGCACAAAATTGCGTAAATCTGACTACACGCTACCGGTCGACTAAAAATGAAGAAGCAAGTGGTTTGCCCAACAGATAGCCGATGGCGTTAGTACTATAGCTGCGTCACCGTTCGGTACATGCCTTAGTAATTTGAAACCGTGCATGTATGGTTCGAAGGATAAAAAGAGGCATGTCAAAGTAAGCTGCACTCCGACGAAGTTTCCCAACGTTAGTGGAGCGGGAACAGCCTTCCCTGCGTGCCCGGTTTCAGGCTCGGTGCAATTAGTTGAAGAAACCACCAAAGAATTATATCTCTCCGACAACACTACAAGCTTAGTTTCTCCTGGCTGGTTTTACGTTATTTCGACTCAAAACACCCTTCCCTACGCGATTCGCAGCTCTCCAGTTTTCTCCGCAATTTATGCCCAGACAGCCTAATCTTTCCTGCATCGTCGACAGATTTTGATATTGTATTTTTCTTTATATGTCAGAAAGATACACAAGCTATGCCAATACTCGAAAAACATCTGAATTCCTAGCATTGTGCTACAGTATGGATCTGCACGGGACAATAGCATATGCAGTATAAAGAAATTGACAATGAAAGCAAGGAAAGTATGGATGACAATATTAGTAACCTTTAATTTTAGTGTAAGTTTACTTCCTCCTCCTCTACTAGCTTCTACATTAGCCAAGGAGGGAAGATGTTTGAGGTTCGCAATGGGTCCCCTCGATGACTCGAGTGCACGGTGGCAGCGCGAAGGAAGAGCCGTAGTCCGGTGAAGAGACGCTTTATTGCAGCCTCAGGCGTCTGCCCGAGTCCAAGCCCCAACCTCCGCTCTCCCATTTCAAACATCCACTTTTCAACCCTCGGTTGAACAAAGGGTCTTCACACAAACCAATCACACGTTGGGACCCGCATCATCACAACCAGTCGCAGAAACACTTTCATAACAGACACTACACTGGTAAATATCACGTTATGAAGTATAACACTAGATGGGATAGGTTTTCCGCGTTTCACACTTTCTCCCATGCCAGGCCATGCATCGGCCGACGTCTGTCGGTAGCCGTTCTCACGCTCGGACTTTATCAACTTTTTCATTAACGTCGCTTCATAGAAGCTTCCGTAAGCGCGGAGATTACAACGTCTGGCCCTGTGCGCTGACCAGGTGTGCATGCGACAGCGAGGTGCCACGCCATCCTAACAACAGTCGGTAGTGACGTACAGCAGGCGAGGATATGCTCGTCTCCATGCGGCAACCCACGTGGATGCCAACAATTTACTTAAACTCAGACAATGGCGCCTGGCCTGCTTCTTGCCAGACGCTCTTCCAAGTAAGCCTTCCCCTCCTAGTCCCGAACGGGGGTGACCTTGACGGCTCTGCTCATGAACCGAATGAACGAAGGGGTCTCCTTCATTTCTCGCTACACACAACACGCCGCTAAAGGTTACGTAACACTAACTGCGTAGTAATTGTGATATGAATGTGAACTATATATAGAGGAATGCCAATTTCGCACCACTGTAGGGACCAAACTTGCAACCTTCCGTTGTGAAACCTACCAAGAACAGACCAGACCGAGAGACGTTCTTTACGAACTGGCTGCGCAATAAAACTTGCAAGGTGTAAATATAAAAAGCAGTCAGCGTTTTTTGTTGAATCGAAAAATGCGTCTTCTAGCGTAAAGGGTGGTGTGTTACAGCACCTATATCAACGTCGTGCAACACAAAAGTTCAATGAGCTCTCCCGCTGCCTCAGGCACATATATGTGTTGCACACTGCAACTTGTGCGACTAATAATTTGCCATGAAGGAAAGAAGAGGAAGTTGTAAAGGAAAGCTTTCTTTGTTAGTCACAATAATAACGACAAATAACAGAGAATGATGCGAGGGAAAGTATATAGGATGCTAGTAGTAGTGATTGTAACCTAAATGTGAAGAAAACATGTGTACGAAAAGAGAACTTGCCACCGCCAGGATCCGAAGCTGAGACCTTTCTTAACATTTACGTTGCACTTACTGCTAGCAATGTAGTCTGTTGGCTCTCGTTATTAATTTGCCATGTATTTTGTTTTCCTTGCGTCTGGTATGGAAGCATTCGCATGAAAGGGATCACTAGCTAGCTTCAGTTGGCTGCGAACTCTTTAAACAGCTTTAGTCGAATACAGTTTTGCGTGATAGAGAGCGACTATGTGACATGATTAAAGTTGCGCAAGATGAATGGCAGGTGTTCATAGGCAATACAACATACTCAATTAAATTGAGAGCATTTAATTAACATAATTCACCATTTTAAAAATGCAGACTGAAACGCTTCAGCAATTTCTAGCGGCCAAAAGCAAAAAAAGTTTTTTGTTTCTCCTTTTCAGAAATATTGGGAAAGTTTGAGATGCTGAGAAGAACTCTCACGCATTATTAAAGTCGGATCGGCCTGTTGCATTACTTGCGTTCTCTCTATAGGCATAGCCAGGGGGGGGGGTTAAACGTTCCTCCCGAAATCATAAAGTTTGGTTTGCGTATATGTATACGAACACATGTAAACACACCAACGAACATGAACAAAGTGTGGTTAAAGCCCCCACCCCTCACTTCGCGAAAAAGATTTCTAGCTACGCCCCTGGTTCTCTCCTTACCCCTGCCTGACTTTTTCTATACAAAAACGGACATTGCAGGGTGAAGTACTCGTCCTACGAATCAACACTTGCAACTTATCGCGAAGGACAGGGCACATATGAGCCAAGGTGCGGGGAATAATATTGAACTATTAAGAAGGTAACGTTGGTTGAAAAAAAAACGAAGATGATTTATGCCTGCAGTCTCATCAACTTCATCCGGTCTGGTTGAATCAGGCACGTAGCTAGACATTTCTTTCGGGGAGCACTTTTTGAAGCCCTCTTGAAAAACACGTATTTTTATTACCTCTACTTTATAAAATACCCCCTTGATCCTAAGTTTGTGAGGAAAAAGGCCAGAGAACTCTCTCACCCCCTTGTCTAGTGGCTTTGCGTTGAATGCATGTTTGCTAGTCCACGTGTGGCGACTGTCTGCCTGACCCGCTATGATTACGTCAGCGCCAGCCAGGACGCCCGCTACGCCAACGAGGTCCGGAATGTACTTGTCAACCCAGTAGTGGCCATCTTTACGAGCGCCTAAAGACCGAAAACATACGTCGCCTGTCACCCTTGAATGAACAGAACGTGCAACAACTTCTGACCGGAGAGCTTGCCGACCGCGAACCTTCGCAGCTCCTTCGTCACATGCGCACTCTCAGCACTGCACTGAAGTCCAAGATTCTTTTCTGCGATCACTCTGGCTTCAACGACTTCCACTACATGTACAAGCAATTATGCAGGCTCAACGTACCTCTGGATGAACTTGCTGAGATTGCTGATCACATCATCGAGGTCTTTCGTTCGCAGTCATCGCCCACCACCCAGGTTGTCACCGTGCTGCTGAACACCACAGAGCTTTGGCCCGGTATCGATGATATCAATTGACAACTGAGCTGCCTTCAGCAATGCGTCGGTGAGCACCTTCCGAAGCGCCAACGATACCAGTTGGAAAACTGGGGCTGTAACACCCCCTCGTCGCTGCTTCCTGCTGAGAACTTCAGGTGTTACTACCATCAACACTCGTGTGACAAAGCCCTACAGTGTTGACCACCTTACTCCGCCAACGAGAAATGCCAACGGCAGCTGGTGGTGGAGACGACTGCAAACTGCGAACCTTGAGGCCATCGCATCTTCGTCAACGACCAAATCACGAAACAGCGTTTTCTTGTCGATAGCGCTTTCAATACCTGCAGCTGCCCACTAGACCATATTCAAGGTCATCGCCCGCTGACGTCTTTCGAGCACAGCACGGGGCACCGGTCCGCATTTACGACGTATGGCTCACGGTGCCTGCGCACCCAGCTCAGCAACCTACGCCGCGTCCTTCATTGAAATTTCGTAATCTCCGACGTAACCAAACGAACAATCGGCTCGGACGTTTTGGCACATTATAACCTCCTTCCAAACTGCCGCCCCGATCGTCTCAACAACGTGACAACGGGATATTTTTTTCGCCAGGCCAGCGAAGGACTACCCAATAATCAAGCATCACAGTGCTGTGTGTTGAAATAATTCGCTGTACTACGCCATTCTCACTGAATTTCCCGGTTGGACGCCTCCCAGTGGATTAACACGCAAAGTGCTACATACCACCGTGCTGTACTTCATACGGACCCCTCAGGCTCCCGGGTTTTCTGCCGCGCCCGTCGCCTTGCCACAGAGAGCATGAGCATAGCCAAGGCTGAGTTCAAAGCGATGTTTAGAGAAAGCATCACCCGTCGCTCTGACGGCCCATGGGCTTCGTTACTTCAGCTTGTCTCGTAGACAGATTGCTGGCGATTATGTGTGGTTACCGCAGCCTAAACGCGCTCGCCTTCCCTGACATGTACACCGTCCACCACATACAAGACTTCGACCATCGTATTCATGGCTGCCACGTGTTCTCCGTGTTAAACTAGGTGAAGGCTTATACACACATCAACTTGGACAACGTCCCGAAAACTGCAATAATTACCCCGTTTGGCTTGATCGAGTTTCGTTTGATGGCGTGAGGAACGCACTGCAAACATTTCAGCGCTTCATTGATGAAGTCGTCCGCTGCTTTGACTTCTGCTTCGTCTAACTTGAGGACTTGTTGGTGACACGCGACGCCGAAGAACACCACGGGCACCTTCGTCTGCTGTTTCAACGCCGCAACGACCACGACCTACTCGTCAATGTGGACAAAAGCACGCTCGGGGCTCGCACGGTCTATTTCCTCGGCCATAACATTTCGTCAGATGGAACTCGACCTTTGCCTGAATGCACCTTTGACTTGCAGAAGTACTCTCAACCCTCCAGCGCTAAAG